TTCCTGGCCTAAAACAAGAGAAGCAGAAAAGTGGAGAGATGAACTTCAACCCTGAAACCACACCATTCGTAATTATCAAAATAGGTGTTGCAAGCAAAATCCAACTAGCTGTTACACAGATAATGACTCACAAAATGATAAAACATTTTTTTTCAAAATTCTACACAGAATGGAGCAAAATACCCTTCAGTTTTCAGTATAATTTTCTGTATTCTTTCATTGCTCCTGACTGGAGAGTTCAAGTGACTGCTGAGTCATTAATAGTAAACAAAGAAGCATATTGATCCACAAGATGCTCTGTTGCCTATGACTTAATTGTAATTTGAAGGTTTAACACAGACTTACCTGAGAAAGAGTGCAAGTTAAAGTATGCATCTCACTAATTCTCTTATGGACTAGTATAAGCAGCTTTTTACATAATGGTTTGTGTAGTCAATTAGTAGAGTATTAGCTATAATAGATAACATTCTTACTAAGACCATATTAATTAGAGCTTAAACACAGCTAATCTGAGACCTATATTGAATTTATATTATTATGTAAGCATAATGCTTCCGTAGGCAAATAATTTCCTTCACGGCATTTTTAAGGAAAAGGAAATCCTGGCATCTGAGATAGAAATATGCAAATTCTAACAGCTATTTGGAAACCACGTAATGTTTCTTAAGACTTGAGTGTGCCAGGCCATATTACAAATAATAGTAAGATTATAAGCCGCAAAGGACACAAAAGACTGAATACCTTTTAAATTTATCAGAACAGAAGGAGTGGGACTGCTAGATAAGAAAATCTCTTCAAGAATTTAATGGATTTATGTTACTGCTCCTCATTTTCCTTGTGTTAGACCCTGGTTCTGGGGTTCTCTAGTCTAAGTTCTCTTCAGCAAAAATAAAGCCTGGTGTGTGCCTATATCCACATTTTTTATTCACCTACATGAATCCACCAGTTTTGAGACAAACATTCTCTGAAATTAATTAGGAAGCCTGCCTAAATACAGATTTAAATTTATTTTTAGTTGCATGGGTTTGTGGCCTCCTTATCACTTTGTTCAGAGGTTCTGCAATATAACCAAAGCTTAATATGTCTCTGGTAATATCAGCTACCTGAAGGAATCCCTTAGGCAAAAAGGTACTAAATTTTTAAATCACAGATAACCATGAAACTAAGCAACTGCAAATTTAGAAGCACAGCAAACTTCAGTACAATATCAGAAAAACTGTGTGTTGTGTGTTACAATGAAATTACAATGAAATGCCACCATCTTGACTTCTGCCACCAATAGGAGCATCACTGCTGTTAGTAGAAAAAAATACACTAATAATAAGCTGATAGGTCCACAATGTTCTGTTATGTTGTCTGGTTACACTGCTGAGAATTATTGCCCATCTGTATGCCAGAAGACAAGTGCTTCTCATCGTGGCTGAAATGAAGTGGAAGAATGAGGGCTAATATCCCTGTCAATGCTTGTGCCAAGAGTCATGGCAGTGACCAGGGTCTCACTAGGCAGGTTACATCTGTAACTTCAGATGCAGAGTTGACAACCTTTTGAATTCATATTCCCCTCTCCCATTTTTATTGAAAAAACATTTTCATATTTGGAGTATCTTAGGGTGGGTTTTTTTTTTCTTTTTTTTTTTTTCTTCTTTTTGTAATGGTAGACTTTCAAACATTGTGGGATATTTAAGTATCAGTCCTACGCTTCCATATCTAAAACTGTCGGTCAGCAGTGTTTTAAAATCTCTCTTCTCAATTTAGGCATCGTTATTTTTGGAACATATACTTTAATTTCACCAACAGAGGTCAGTAAACCACTGAAAGAGAACCATAAGTGTTTGGCGAGAACACACCCTCGTCAATCTTTGTAACATCCTTCTGATAGTTTTGCTCAAAGGGCTCTTGTTTGGTTGCTTCAGAAAATACAAGCTTAGTTAGCTAATAAAAAAAAAAAAAAAAAAGAAAGCAAATGTATCCTTATGCATGCAGGAGAATGAATTTTATTAAGGAGATGAATTACATAAAATACTATATTGTTAAAGCTCTTTCAGCATTAGAATATATTTGAAATACCTGTTATCAAGCCAGTAGCAGACATACATGCATAGGTATGATCATTGCTGAATCAATTTGTCAAGGTTAAAACAGGCTGTGATTTACACAGTAGCACTTTGAATGATCTGCAGGATTCTACTTTTCAAGCTTTGTGCTGTTGAAACCCAACCTAGTGCCGGGAGATTACAAAGCGGAGGATCCCAGAGAAGTAACATTTAATGATATTAAAATAACAGATAGAAGCGCAGGAGAAACCAAGAGCTGTCACCGACTTGCTCATTTTGACAGTAACAGCTAATGGAACTATATTAACACATCATTTTCCAACTTTCAAGTGTAATGAAAAGCTATTTTTACAAATCATTACTTTCGGTATATGGTGTTTCAGCCACGTGGCTTCTATTAGTGTACGGGGGAGTTTCACAACTAAAGCTGCCTGTGCAGTACAGAAAGTGTACCTTTTATGTTGAGCTAATCCCAGAGGAGAGTCAGCACTCGTGCCTGTGTCCTTTTGACCTTTATCCTTTTAATGCATTTTGCCTCAGCAGCAAAAGGTGAAACCCCAGTTTTTATGTTGCAAAACAGACCGCTTCAACAGCATTTCTCTGTGAAGCTAAGGCAAGTAACACACGCTCCTGTGGAAATGTTGAAAGTCCCTAGTTCAGCAATCGACAATAGCTTTACAAACGTATTTTTAGAATTGCTTTTTTGGTAGCCCTTTGAAGCTCACCCGCACGGCCTCGCTGCCACCCCTCTCAACAGCTGCGAGCATGCGAAGCCACTGGAGTGGAAGATGTTAATTATCATCAGCTACTGGAATTTCTCCAGGGACTACTTGTGGTTAGAAACGTGCTTCCCTAAAGAACTGCGCCAGGCACCAGGATCATCTCTCCTGTAGCTTATCTGAGTCCTTCCTCTTAAGCAAAAGAGATAATCGATTTAAACTCCCAATCTTCACTTTTAAGCGTTCTTCTTTTAGGGTATGATTGTATGATTTTCCTAAGCAATCTTAACTGCAGAATCTGTTATTTCTGTGAATAGAGTTCCAACAATAGGCATTTTCATGTATATGTAAGTTTCCCAGGGACTGGGTTTAGCATACGTAGAGATTTTGATTAAAAAAACGGAGAAACAAATCTAAAATGAAAAAGGAACAAAACCAGAAAACAGGCAAATTGACAGACACAACTGTGTTTGGGTTTTTTTCCCCCACAAGGGTCATTTGAACTTCCTTTTTGTGGCCAAGAAAAAACTATGCCCCTTCCCCCCACGTCATCAGAAAACTGCAAGCACAAAAATGGTCTTTCCCCTTCTGCTTTACCTCCCGCTATTCGGTGGCATTTTGAGTCTAAACTAGTTAGCATCAGGAGCTTGATGTGATGTCAGCAAGTGAGATATTCCCCACAGGGAACCAAAATAATAGTAGATGAGCTGGCAGAAAGATCCCCAGAAAGGGGAATAACACAAAACCAACAGATTCTAAGCCTAGTCCTTTACTTTGAGTACTACAAAGCACCTTTAACGACTGAACACAGCCTTAAATGTACCTTGTAGATCCCTCTGCGGTACTTAAACCTAGTAATCACTACCACCCCCACAAAAAGATCAAGTCAGGTCAGACTCTAGCTGCAGAGAAACCAGGATGAACAGTCATCTGCAGGAATTGACTCCACGCACCAAAACAAATGCTGAGGACTTGTCTCTTGCCCTTTGCTACAGATGAGAATGGCACACTGTCCCCCAGTCCTTTACAGAGTGACACACCGCTTTTTTTTTTTTTTTGATAATCTAAGGGAGCTGAAGGAAAGCAGGCACCTCGCTCTCCAAGAACGCCATCCCTTTCCTATAAGGGCACAGGAAATCCCCTTCCGCCCCCAGGAGGAAGGGGTAAGCAGGAGGAAGGAAACTGAATGTAATGGAAAGTAAACGTGTCAACTGTGAAAACAATTACCACTAGTGACTACAAAAATCCTTGTTACACTTAGAGCCAATGAGTACAGTGGTATTTCAGCTATTCAGTGTTTACAGAGTTTAAACCCCCACAATTACTGGCCAATCCCCCATGTAGGCCGTTAGTGCTGTTGTATTGTATACCTTCTGCAGTTCAACTTCAACTACAGCGATCAAGAAGTAGGTACAGTCCAGATGAGGGATTGCTTAATTCTTCCAAAATGATCACTGCTTAATGACATAGACCTATTAACTCCGTGTCCGCTGCTGTAGGCCTTCATAAGCTAGAGAAGATAACAGAATACACGTTCCCCAGCTGGCATCAAGAGCAACAGTGAACATTAAAGTGAGCACACAAACACAGAACTGTTATATACAAAAAAAGTTTAATTGAAATACCTGTATAAAAAATATGATCTCCATACATTTCACACTGTTAAACAGAAGAAAAAAAATCCAAATCCAAGCTGCATAAATGCAACCAGATCACAGAAACACAGCTATTAAAATAAATTAAGGTTTATGACTCTGCCACTCTACTTTCCAGAGCCAATGCACGGAGACTGTACAATGTCAATAATTTAAAACCCTTCCAAACAGCATTACTTTACATTTCTGGTACAATAATACCAGACAAAAGGCATACTGACTAACTTTAAAAAGTCATTCTATTTCCCTTAAATTAGACTTTGTACAACAATTTTCCATCTTCCAACAAAAATTGATAAGGTCAGAAAATTTTTTTTGTCTTTTTTTTTTTTTTAAACAAAAGTTGACAGGAATGCAGAAAAAAAGTGCCATGGGCAAACCACTAGAATTCCCATGGGGAGAAGGAGGGAAAAGCACAGTGTTGAATAACTATAACCAAATAAATTAACCAAATAAATAGCCACAGCTGAAACCTGTGGGAGGTCTTCTAAACTCCAAACAATAAATAACTGTATAGTACATGAGAAAAACCAAGTTTACATAAACACATTATACAGGTATGGGGGGGAAAAAAAAAGTAAAGTCCTTGAATATTGCATTGATTGTGCATTCAACATGCCCATACATACTTTAAGACTCGCAGGGTGACAAAAGGCCGGGGGGAGTTGAGAAGGGGGCTTCTCATGCCCAGTGGTAGAGATGATAAAAGGAAACATGAATAAACTTTCTGATAGAAAAGCTGATATACCTGTTCATATTTCTGTGCAGGCTATAGGAAATATTTTGAGCAGCAGAGGTGGATTGGATTTGGAAAGGGCTGGGGGGGCAGGAGTGAAATGTCTGTGTTCAAGTATTCCATCACCAGTGGATGGGACTACTTCATTCAATCACCGAACATGTTCTCCAATGCATCATAGGAGCTGCTTCCTCCAGCACTGAGTCTAAAGGGAGCAAATTCCTATAATGAACTGGATCTTCTTTGGACATACACAGCTCAAAAAAGAAAGTCCCACTGAAGCAGCTTTCAAAAAGGCACTCAAAAGCAAATAAAAATCTAGTCCAGGCTCTATGAGAGCAAAAAAGTTTACCATGTATTCAAGAGGTCACTGCTTTCTTAATAAGGTCAGTCTTTGACTAAGTACTGGCCTGCAACTCCCAAACATCAGCGTTTCCAAAGGAAATCTCTCATTCCAAAGCAGAAACCAGCAAAGGGGGAAAATAAAATCAAGTCCCTCAGACAAAGATTCAACTACAGAATAATGAATGCATTTTTCTAGCCCCTCCTACGTATTGGCAGCAGCACTGTGGTCTTTCTGCTTGTAGCTCCCCTCCCAGTGCGAGGTCCTTAGTAATTCACAGACTCTCATTACTTGAACTTGTGCTAGATACATCAGTATCAAGGGTCCGTAGCCTTATGTCACAGTCCTCAGACTTCACTACTTCAGATTTGTGCATCCATTGATGGTCAAAAATTTGCTCAAGTGTTGGTCTGTCTGAAGGCCTCAGTGAAAGGCACCATTTGATCAGCTGTTGACATTCTGTAACAAACAAACAAAAAAGTAATTTTAGACTAGGAAAGGAAAAAAGACAACCTTGAATAAGAAAAACCCTATCTGTACAAACTGAAATGTACAGGACCAGTAGAAGAAAAAAAAAAGCGCCCCCATGTGACCCCTATACAACTCACCAGGTGAAATTCTTCTCCTGAAGTATAATCGTCCCCTCAAGATTTCTTCATCCTGCTCAAAAGGGATGTCTCCGCAAACCATATCGTACAGCAGAACTCCCAGAGACCATACTGTTGCTGACCTCCCATGGTATCTGTGGTACCTGATCCACTCTGGAGGGCTGTATACTCTCGTTCCTAAAAGCAAGGAAAAAAGAGAAATTAAAAAAAAGTCAAGGTTTAGAGTGTTTCCCCATTGTTCAGCGTCATTTGACATAAAAAAAAAAAACCTTTAAATTTCTTATGGGCCAAGGCCATTAGTGGTGTAACTCCAGGTCATCTGGTGGAGTTACACCACGCAGAGACTTGGCCCATGCGGCTGTGCTATTTTGTTGCAGTGAACAACACCCGGTCCCCATCAGCTGACTGTTTACCCAGGCCAGCTCCCTTTCACTGACCACGTGGCGTCTGCAGCATCACACCAAAAATAGACACAAAAGGACAAAGGGGGCCGGCGGGGAGGAGGCGGGAGGGCGGCAAGAAGGTGAAACCCAGGTCCGCCCGTCTTACACGGGGCTAATCTGCTTTAGCCAATTC